ATAACGTGCTTGCTCTTGGGTAACAAAGATGTTGAGAGTCGGCTGCAATGCGGCGGTAAGTTCTGCTTTTCGGAAATATTGAATTATCAACTTTAAGGCTATCCGCAATGCCTCTAACTATTCTCGTTCACCCATCTACTCTGCATGGGCAGCCATGGCCAAGAAGGCCATGAAGGTAAATAGTAGTTATTGTTCTAGAAGACATTTTTTGAAGGGAAAAGAGGCGGATACTTTAGTTTGGAAGACTGTACTAGTGTCAAGGATAATGTCAAAACAGATAGTCTTTGAGCAATCAATGTCTCAGTGAGTTGTCAAAAAACCAATAAGTGGTGACGATTTTCTCAATTTGTGTTTTATCCATACAGATAATCCAACCAAACTACAATCGTTTGAGGATCGAGCAAGTATGTGGCCTTAGATCATTATATCCAAACAAGGTTACACAACGGTCTTTTCCACCTTTTTCTCGAAAATATCGCTGTTTTTCCAGATCGCAATGCTGAATTGATATAATCAAGGAACTAATGTCTCGTCGTTTCAATTCTGTAAGTTGAACTTGAATTTAAAATTTTCTCATGTTTACCATATATGAAAAAAATTTTATTTCAGGATCAAGCCAGTTCATTATACAAACTATATTTGAATGTGAAGACCAGCATTGAAGCCAAGTGAGTAAATAATTTCTACCTTTTTTCTTTCTTGTTCATTTTTCACTTCAAATATTCTAGAATGGTTTCCTATGAAGGGGATACGCGGGCTGTTCTGGCAGGTTCCTTGAGACATTATGTTGCAGTACTCGATAACCTTATCCATCGCCCGTCTGGTATGATAAATTTTTTGTTTTACCCTACAAATTCAGAACTATTCGAAAAATTATAAAGAAGATTTGTTTCAGTTCGTGGCTCACGTGATTCGAGTTTACGAACACCTGAAGTGAACGAGGTACGTTTTTGTACGTAATACTTCATAACACTTGCTAAAGCATGTACATTATTATGTTATAATTTTCAATTTTTTTTCAGGACTGGACCATATCCCAGTCATTGAAAAGGATGAAATACCAAGTCAAAGCAATATGCCTCATCATCGACCCAGGCGAAGCTGGTATGTTTTAAATGTTTCTGATGTGACCTGATGATATGTAATAAGTTTTATTATTAGATCCTCCGACGAGTAGAGAAGAAGATGAGCTTTCAATTACAGCATAGGATCTGCTCGCTACTCTTTTTTCAAGCAATTCTCCTCGGGAGTCTAGTACCGAGCCTAACTGCACCACGGACACCGACTAACAAAAACTTTGGGTATCATTCCTTATGGTGTATCGGAGCCAATGGTTGACAGTTATTTGTGTGAATTTATGTATAGGAAACGTTATGCTGACTGTAACCTTTTTGACCGTATTATTGAAGTATTTGAAATATGTTTGTATATCAATATAGTGTTAACTAATTTACAGGTTTCTTTCTCTACCAAATGTATTTACTGAATCGAAATTGTGATCACAAACCCATGCATACGAACTTCACTTATCAGGAACAAGCATGTCCTGATGTCTGGTATTCTGCTGGAGTTTCTTCGTACTCAGCAGAGCATTCTAATGTTCTTCTGAATAGTGTTCTGGATCTGTAGAGGATGCAGCATCTAATTCTTTCCTATGTATATTATTCTTATAAAAAAAATTCATCATTTTTATTTTTCCATACAAATATACAAAACAAATGCTCAAAAACCGGCTTTTTGATATAGAACTCTGTATTAATAAGTAAACCTAAGAATAAATTTATTTTGAAGCATGCAGTTGCTTATCGAGCTTGTCCAAGACTTGATCTGCACAATGTGGTAATCTGGTACCCGGTCCAAAGATGAGGGAAACTCCTGCTTTGTAGAGGGCATCGTAATCTTGTGGAGGAATCACACCTCCGGCGATGACAAGAATATCCCTAAAGAACTCGATGAACCCGGAGATCGGTTGAAAAGCCTACGGTCTTCCAAGTCTAGTCAGTTCGTCAATCAATTGAGGGATCAAAGTTAAATGACCAGCAGCTAAACTACTGGCACCGATTGCGTGAACGTCCGCATCTACAGCTTGCTGAGCAGCTTCGGCAGGTGTTTGGAAAAGTGGACCTACATCCACATCAAATCCTGAAAATGCTTTATCAGGTGGAGAATATTTGAAAAGAGCAACCTAAATCGGCGAAGCCAGTGGCGATCACTTTGGCACCGCGGTCGTGTCCATCTTGTCCCATTTTGGCCACCATTATTCTGGGTTGACGACCTTCTTTCTCAGCAAAAACTTTAACTTTGTTCATAACCTGAAGCAGTTTTTCAAATTAAAAACATGAATATGAAAGTAGAATACCTGGTCAATCTCAGATGTTTCACCGAACTCGCTTTTGTAAGCTCCAGAAACCATTCTATTAACAGCAGCATATCTGAAAGAGTGAGAACATCAAATTGGCGAAAGAGAACTATTGAAAACCTTCCAAACACTTTCTCCATCGCATCACTGATCTCTCCTAAAGAGCAACGAGCTCTAGCAGCGTCAACAGAAAGAGCTAATAAGTTGCCTCCATTGCTGCAACCTTCAGTGATAGCCGTTAAGCAAGCTTGAGCTTTTTGCTCGTCACGATTCTTTCTCAGATTATTCAGTTTGTCGATCTGAGACTCCCTAACTTTCTTATTATTAATTTGAAGAACATCGATAGGAGTTTCCTGAAGTACAAATTCATGTTACAATAATAGAAATGAAACCAACTTTGTCAAGACGGTACTTGTTAACTCCAACAATGACATCCTTACCAGAGTCTATGCGAGCCTGTAATCGTCTCAGTTTAATCAAATAACATATTTTATTAAAAACCTGTTTCTTAGCAGCAGCTTCTTCGATACGTAATTTCGTCATTCCAGAAGCGACGGCTTTAGCCATACCTCCTAACTCATCAATCTCTTTGATAACCTTTAAGGCAGACTCATAAATTTCATCGGTCAAAGATTCCATCATGTAGGATCCGCCCCAGGGATCAGCAACTTTGCAGATACCAGTTTCTTCTTGGATGATAATTTGTGTATTACGAGCAATTCTAGCAGAAAACTTGGTTGGGAGTCCAAGAGCCTGAAAGAATTTCCAAACTTCAAATCATGCGTTTTTTGAGAAACCTCGTCGAAAGAGTTTGTATGGAGAGATTGAGTTCCACCAAACACAGAAGCCATAGCTTCAATTGTGGTTCGTATAACATTATTATAAGGATCTTGTTCAGTGAGAGACCATCCACTAGTTTGACTGTGTGTTCTCAACATTAAAGACTTATCACTCTTCGGGCTGAATCTCTCTCTGATCAAGTTAGCCCAGAGCCTTCTACCCGCTCTCATTTTTGCGATTTCCTGAACAGCACGACGATTGAGGATAGATATCATTGAACTACTCACCATGTAAAAGTTCATACTGATACCCCAGAAGAAAGATAAACGAGGAGCGAACTGGTCAATAGTCAATCCAGCTTTCAATCCCGTCTCACAATACTGAATTCCATCAGCAATAGTGAATGCCATTTCTAAGACAGCATCAGCTCCAGCTTCCTTGAACACACAGTCAGTTTAATATGGAAAAATTAGAATGAATATACCTGGATATGGTAACCAGAAATAGAAATACTATTCCATTTGGGCATTTCGCTACTTGTGTAAGCAAAGATGTCACCGATGATACGCATAGATGGGTCTGGAGGGTAGATGTATGTATTACGAACCATGAACTCTTTCAAGATATCGTTTTGAATTGTTCCGGAAAGAAGTTTTCTGTCTACACCCTACGATACGAAAATTGCTTTTGACATTAGAAGCGATAGTCTTACGCTTTCTTCGGCACCAACGATATACATAGCTAGGACGGGAAGCACAGCTCCGTTCATGGTCATGGAAACAGACATTTTATCAAGAGGAATTCCTTCGAAAAGCTATGAGAACATGATGAATTGAGATTGATTGTTGAAGAATTACTTGTTTCATGTCTTCGACACTGTCTACTGCTACTCCAGCCATACCAACATCTCCATATACTCTTGGATTATCAGAGTCATAACTGTAGATGAATAGAAATTATGAAATAACATTTCAAAACCATTGAACTAACCCTCTATGAGTAGCCAAATCGAAAGCAACGGATAAACCTTGCTGACCTGCCTTGATGTTTTCTCTGAGAAAACGGATCGATTAATTATAAGAATCAATAAGAACGTTACTTATAGAATTTATTGGATTCCTCTACTGTTGAGAATCCGGCGTATTGACGGATGGTCCATGGTCTTTGAGTGTACATAGTAGGATAAGGTCCACGAGTAAAAGGATACTTTCCAGGAAACTTCAAACTTATTATTTTAAAAGAGAAAACGAGGCGCACACTAACCTCGAGTTCTCTATCAGAATCACATTTTCTATCTGCTGGAGTGTACAATGGCTTGATAGGAATTCCTTCAGGGGTGTTCCAAACTAAAGTATCAGCCTCTTTTCCCTTTAAAAAAATGTCTTCTAGAACAATAACTACTATTTACCTTCATGGCCTTCTTGGCCATGGCTGCCCATGCAGAATCGATGGGTAAACGAGAATAGTTAGAGGCATTGCGGATAGCCTTAAAGGTGATAATTCAATATATTCCGAAAAGCAGAACGTACCGCCGCATTGCAGCCGACTCTCAACATCTTTGTTACCCAAGAGCAAGCACGTTATCAATTACACTGGACTTATCTGAACCAGAAAGGGTA